TAAAACGAAACAGTTTACAGCTCTGAGTGAATCTTGATAACCAATGTATAGCAATTTTCCCGAATGCCCCAACAACAGTTTTGAACTGGTACATACCGATTTAAATCTAATGTCTGGAAATAAAAAAGCTTCAAAACAACATATAATGCAGAATAAAAGGGTAAATTTCAAACTTCATATGCTTGTATGCACCGATATGTGCGTAGTTATATTCGTCTGTTTGAAACCTTTTCATCTGTGTATAATACTGTCACATTTTTATCTTAGAATTAAGCTTTTTCAAAAAGTAAGCAAGGTTAAGAGCTGAACGTTTGGAAATAACTTCTACGCTTTGATTTAGACTTCTGACGAAAATGGTTAATTAAACGATTGAACAGGGTTGAAGCTGCAGCAAACGCAATTTTTGAGCATGACACGACATTTAGTGTGGAAAATCAGTTTGTGACAATATATTTGTTGCACCGGCTCTTCAGTGATGAACTGCTTCGAACTCTTTTTTGAACCGCTATACTTTCCGATACTACATCTTTCTTTTGAGTTATTTAGAGTTAGGATTCAACTGAATTTATCCAGCCTAAAATGCTGGCAGTTTTGAAAAAGCTTAATTCGAAGATAAAAATCTCGCATCATGCTGCTTGGTGCCTCACGTTTTTTTGAAGTAAATTCAAGATAAAAGTGTTAAAATAGATTCAAACATAACAGTGTTATACACAGATGAAAGGTTTCAAACAGACAAAAATACTATTATGCCACACAACCACAAAAGAACAGCTCTCGGGAAGATTTCAACTACTAAAATCACTTTCATATATTCTCTTGAGTTGAGGCTTATAAACAGATAAGCTAACAACATTGTCATTTTCTTTTGATAGCAGGAAACACACACATCAAAAGCTGCCATTTCACAAGAGCAAAATCTTTTTTGTGTATTTCTTTTCTTTCCTATTTCATGCGTCTACTTATTCAATGACTTCACATGTCTGAAGTTTTTACCTTGCTCTCGATGTCAATAACATCGTTCTGTATTCAAATAGTTAACGAAAACAACAGTGATTAACACACGCTTGGCTTTTGTCACATTGAAACAATACACATTAACAGCATAACACACAACCAGAAAACTTGTCAACAAATGTATGACCTTCTATTATGAAACAAATGTTTCACAGCATAACTGTTTGCTTTACTAGTGAAAATGTTTGCGATCGACATTACAAACACGTTTTGGATCTTGCTGACCTCTCTGTGAAACAACTAGCTCGTTCTGAACAGCGACAGTCACTCTCTCTGTGTCTGCCTTAGTCTACCTATTTACTATACTCCTAGTGTCTCACATTTCTAGTGGAATCTACTGATGCCATTACAATGGCATCCAAGACATCATATGCCTATTCAATATACGATAAAGGAATTGGCATTTTTGCATGCGAAGGTTGTCAACAAAAGTTTTGTCGAAAACATTCGAACGAACATCAAGAAGAATTAGCGAAGCGACTGGATACAATTGTTTTCGAGCCCGATCTCATTCAATAGCAACTACAAAGCACATCCGACTCAACGACAAAACATCCTTGCTTCACAGAAATTGACACTTGGGAAACCGAATCGGTGAACAAAATAAAGCAAGTGCCGAGCGATGCAATGTAGGATCTTATATAAGGACATCTGACTTACGAGAGAAGGCCACCAACTGCCTCCTCGCTTTTGAGCTGAAAGTCAGTTGACGATAGGTAATCAAACGTGCTGATTCTCACAATGGTTTTTGCCCGCTCTCGATTTAGAGACCCGTTTTTTATAGAGCTTGGTTTTTTAACCGAAAAACCATTTTCACTAAAAAATTTTCTTGACCGGTCCAAATGAAAGAGCACGTCGTCAAATCTACAGAAAACAATTTTTCAAGATTCTAAGCGAGGTTTTGAGCGACTTTTCTGCGTCTAAAACTTAAAAAGAAGAGGGAAAAACCGCTAATATTCTTACACAATTTATGAAAGAAAAACTACTGTTTTTCTTTCTGTTCTGTTTTTTTACTTATCAAAGGCATTCAAAGAGAAGGGCTGCATGCATGCGTTAGACATAATATAGATCATGATACATCCCAATTTCACAAGAATTTGGTGAAAAGGAAAAACTGAGCACAGATAGCAGCTATAGAAAAATTCTCAAAGCATGTGAGATGCATAATTCAGTGCAAAGAACAGAGAACGGAAGAAAAATATTTATAAGAGCAGCAGTCTATAAAAATATATGTAGTTTTAACACTCGTACCGGAGTGTCAGAGTTATATAACATTTGACACCAAGTTTTTACTCAAACTCGAAAAGTATCCGCCCCTTTCGACAGATTTCGTCACTTTCCCGTAAACCAAAATGAATGCTCAGAACATCGTTTCGGCTTTGAGTGATTTAATTGCAAATAATTTAACCGTTACTCAACAGTCTCCGATTACATCACAGGAGCGACAAATGGCCGAACATCTAGCTGACACTGTTAAATTAATGGCCAGTTTACAAAAAGTTGATTACGTTGAAGAAACAACTTTAGATTTCGACCGTTATAAGAGAATGAAGAGGAGAAAGAATCCATGCTGGATGAGAAAGAAATTGAAGAAATGGATGAAGATTGGAAGGACAAAGAATTAGCTTTAGAAAAATATAATTTAAGAAGCTTTTCAGAAGAGTTTATGCGTCAAGTTATCGGTTTTGTTGATCATGCAGATCCGGGAAATAAACATGAGAGATCGTGGAAAGCCATTCATCACCGATTTCGAACAATCCCAGACAGAAGTTATAGTCCACATTTTCGAAAATATTTGGAACATCATGGAACAAAGCGACAGAAGACTCAAGATCTGGACAGTTTAGTTTACAAAAAGTTAGTTGATGCAAGACAAAAGAAGCTCGTTGTTCATGATTTGGATATCCAGCGATGGGGTTTAAAGATAGCTAAAGAAATAACCCATGTGGGAAAAATCGCTTAAAAATCGGCGACTTTTACGTGACTTGGTGTTCGATTGTTGCGATGTTATGTCGCAATTAGTCGGCGAGTTTTTAGCGACCTTTTATTTTTAGTCGCGATTTATCAATGTTTTATC